CAAAGATCATCGGAAAAACCAACAAACATCTTTTGAGTGAGAATTCACAGATTACGTCATTTGTTCTCTCAAAGAAATTGCCCAATCCTGTATTTTCCCGTCTTCTGAAAGAGGTGGCCAAGAGAGATGAAATTATAAAGGAACATCTCAACAATTACAAGGTCAGTAAAAACAAATGTCAAAGATGCCAAAAGAACAAATCATAGTGAAATGTCACAATCATAAAATGAGACATTTGCACTATAGTAGCCTTTGGGGAGATCAGATTGTTTTGTCTGTTTAAAAATGGTATTATAGTGCCAAAGTTCAATAATTGCACCAAGTATATTTTCATTGTGTTCGCATCCAGAAAGGTGGATGTGTCCAAGCTCTGTTTTTTCCTTATATATATATATATATATTTGAATCAGCTGTTGCTTTGTCACATGTGCAGTCACAAGACAAAAGACATGAGGATGCCATCACAGGATCACTCCTACAGGGCCTTGAAAAACAACACAACACAGAACATGGAGTGGTAGGTACAAATTACATAATTCTAGGGGAGCACAATTCAAATTGCACTGGGAATTAAGTTAGCTTAACTGAAGACTTAAAATGTAATGTACTATGAAAAATACTAAACAAAATGTCTTCAGCGCCTGACAGATATTCATGTTCACATGGCCACTGTGGACCTTCTCATCGGGGGAACAGAGACCACTGCAGCATGGCTCAACTGGACTGTGGCCTTCCTGTTGCACAGGCCAGAGGCAGGGCACATCTCCACATTAAACACTGTATATATACACACACTGGGCGATGATCTAATTGCCTTTCTAAGCTCTTTTTAAAATCTTCAGGTGCAGACCAAAGTGTATGAGGAGATGTGCACAGTACTAGAGGGACGATACCCCAAGTACAGTGACAGACACAGACTTCCTGTCCTGAGCGCTCTCATCAACGAGGTGCTCAGACTGAGGCCAGTCGCCCCGCTGGCTGTGCCACACAGAGCCATCAGAGACAGCAGGTCAGCTGAATCATGTGCAGTGATGATGAAATTATTGAAGACAAGTGGCTACTTACCGAGATATTTTGTCTATAAGATCCTATTGTTTTACTGGCATTGGTAGAGGTGGGTACATTACAGATAGTTTCGAAAACTGCCAAAAACCCATGTTTATCCGATATTACACTCATAATATTTGTTTGTTGTTCCAATACCAGAGCATTGTGAATTCTGAAATCTTACCCACTTGGCACTGTTTGAAGCAATGCATACATTAAGATTGGCTATGAAGAATGAATTGCATTAAATAGTGTATGCAAAAAGTAATTATGCATGGGCTTTGTTTTTGCAAATCAGCTAAATCATGAATATATTAAAAAGCTAGTAAGCAACACATTGTTTCCAGGTTTTTAAGTTTGCATCTGGATCCAGATTTGAAAAAATGCTAACTAATGGTTAGATAACTATATTGACATAGCTACGTTGGTCCTCTTGCGATCAGGTCTTTCAGTCAGCAGGTATACACAAAGGCCACTTGTATGGATGAAAACACTGTTTTACTTAGTTGTGCAAATGTATAACTCCTACGCATGTTTAGTATTGCAGGTTACTTCATCCCGAAGAACACAGTCATCATTCCTAATCTTTTTGGAGCTCACCATGATCCTGCAGTTTGGTCTGACCCATACAACTTCAAACCAGGTACTGTTCCAACTGTGTGAGGTGAAGTGCATTCCTTTCACTTGGCTCAGCAGATCTCAAATAAAGTAGCTACTCTCTCTTATTTTTCAGAGCGATTTCTGGCGGGAGGAGGAGGCTCCACCCGTGCCCTGATTCCTTTCGGAGGGGGGGCTCGGCTCTGCCTGGGGGAGTCCGTGGCCAAAATGGAGCTCTTTCTGTTCACTGCCTACTTGCTGAGAGATTTCCATTTCATCCCTCCTGAGAATAAAGCCTCTCTGCCCGACCTGAGAGGGGTTGCCAGTGTTGTCCTCAAAGTCAAACCTTACACAGTTGTAGCATGTCGGAGGCCTGAGACTAATCCCTGAACTACAGAGGGTGTACTGCTTGCTTGTTGCTTAAACATATTATTTCCGTGAAAACAAATACTTTTTTTAACAAACTTTTAAATGTAAGTATCATTACAGAACCTTCATTGGTATGTCTCTAATCAACACATTTTTCTATTTGGCTGTGGTATTAAATATCCTGATTAAAATAGTCAGTTATTGGGTTTATAGCTCTGAATGTATTAAAAAGTTATATTCAATCATCTATATTGAGATGTATATATAAACATTTGTTTATTTGTTTAGTATTAAAGGGCGAATCAAACTGCATAAAGATTTTATATGTACAAATAATCAGCCTCAGAATCACCCGTGGAGGGGGGAAATGATATGAGTCATCAATCACATTTTTCCTAAAATATAAACAAGAAGTGAGGATCCGTAAGAAGGATATCTTGATCAAATAAACACAGTTCAAGTGAAGCTGCATTTGAATGAAAAAATTGATTCCAAACCTAGAAATTGTACACTGCAAACTGGTAAAAGATACTACTAGATCGAATAATAGAATATAAGAGAGTCTGACAGCACCACCCTGTGGACCAACACTGAGAGTGCTACAGAAAGTGAAATAACTTCCTCCTGAAGAAAATGTCCAGTTGACTCTGAGGTTACCAGTCCTCCTCCCTTGGTTCAAGGCACATCTGGTAAAAGTGTGTGCAGCATTTATACATTAATTATGTTCTGCATCAATCTGATGAAAGATAACCACAATACCAGTGTATAACTAGAGGGTTTTGTTGTTTGCACACGTGATAGAAAGGGGATATATTACATTTAAATCACACAGTAGGCATTTGTTTGTAAAGTGGCCACAGTTTTTTATAGAGTTGAAGGCGTATCGTGCAAAGATGAACATGGGCCTCTGTGGGTCTTAAAATAAAAAAAGATTCATTTCCTTAACATGTGACTTAAAACACTTCTGTCATCAGAGGATTTAGCAATATTGGAATAAGCAACACAATCTAGGAGAAGACATATTCTATTAGAAGGATGGCATCTTTTTCATGGATAAGAGTCTTCTTTCTCTCACCCAGGCAGCTGCTGGATTTCAGTCATTTGGTAAATATATAGAATATAATGTCTTCTAATCTGTTGTAGGCCATTTGTTTTGGGATAGTCTATGAATTGGTAATGTTGGTCTTAGTTGACTAAGATTACTTTAGTCAATTCTTCACAGTTTTACTTTATTTCTTTAACGCTAAAAATACTTATTTCTAAGAAACTTATAAGCACATACTTTTTTCCATTTAACAGATCTGTCAATTAAATTGTATGAGTGTTAGTTGACTAACTTCTTCAGTCGAGGACAACCATAAAACATCAAGTAAATACAATAATAGTGCATCAAAAAGAGGGATTCACCAACACTATTGAAGGGTGGGGGTAGGAGTATAGTACTATATAAAGTAAGCTTTAATGCATTACCATGAAATACAGATGTGACAAGATGTGAAACTCTACATCAGCTGCAGCCACAAACAAAACACAAGATTCTCCAGTAGGGCATGCCCACAACCACTAGCAATGTTGATTTGGAGGGATACAACGGTCCATGTGTGTTGGTGTACTCACCTTTCTGAACGCGTCTGCACCGAAAACTCCTCCACAAATCCGCACCAGGTCCAATTCCTCAGCTCGTTCGTTATCAAAGCATGCCATTTTATCCCACTGAAGAAAGAAGTTTACCAGAGAAGCCAGAAAACACTACTAACATTTTAAGATGTTAGCATGCTAGCCACACCCAGCATGCACCTGTTCACAAAACGTTGTGGGTGTGTTTGATTTGGGACGCCCAGCATACTGTAGTGCTGCATAAACTGGTGCTTAATTTCAGTAGCCACATTTCAACCTTCTTTGTGGTACAAATAGGGGCAAACATACTCCCATTAGGACGCAATTCTTCATTATGTTGCGGATACGGATTATATAGGCCGTCGAATGTGACTTTATAAAGTAAATTAGGATACTATAGGATTTCAAAAGATAGGTCTAAAAGTAGTCCTATTACTAATAATTAAAATTACACTTTTTTTCTTACTAATATTCTGAAGCAAATGTAATTTCAATGTTATTTTACTTCCAAACATGGTTATTAACAAGATCAGTTCATAATGGAGGCGACCAACTTCCCACTAAAATGTGCTCTCACAATGTAAATTAGATTGTTCAAACAACTTCCATGACATGGGAATTAAAATAAAATGTTGTCCTTTCCAACAGATAATGTGGTTATGTTTGCCTTACTTGGAGATAGCATTACTTTACCATGTGGCATGCCCTCAATCAAACACTGCTCCTCTGTAAACTGGAACATGGCTGGAGAGTTTCATACAGTCACTGAGGTGGTGAAAGCTGGAAGGGTAACGGCCCCCGAACGGGTAGCCCTGCTAAAAGACTGCTCTCTGACGATTAACCACCTGGTCCTCGATGATGCACGACTTTACTCTTGTGACAATGGAGTGCTCAATTCAAATGTTTCACTTCAGATTCTTAAAGGTAAGTGACTCAAACCATTCTTGAACAATTTCAATTAAATATCACAGTAGTCACATGTGTGAACTAATAATGTTCATTCCTTAGTTGTTGAGAACCCGAATCCTGTGGAAGACACAATAGAACTCCAGTGTTTCCTCAATATGCATAGAGCATTTGTTGCTTGTAACAACAAAGGGATACATATCAAGTGGATCACAGAAGTTAATACACCATTAAACGGGGATAGATTTCAGTTCAAATATCCCTCGAAATGCTTCTCTAAACTGATCATCACTAAAAAACGTACAGACCATCACAGAAAATGGAAATGCCAGCTGACTCAGAATGAAATGGTTAAAGCCACCATCACGTATACAACAACAAAGGTACCAAACTCCACTTCCAGATTCCACCTCAGATGGTAGAGGAAGTGTTCACTGAGTCAGTGTCACTTTCATGTGGAAACACTTCCTCCCTCAGCGTGGGCGTGAAGTGGGCTGTGGGTGAAAGGACCCTGACAGATGATAATATCTCGCTTTATGGAGGCCAAACAGAGGCATTGCATTTGAATAAATGTCAAACTTGTCATTACCAAAGTGGGGGCTTTAAATGCAGGAAAATACCACTGTTCAGACTCTACAGATGAGCAAAAGGTGTTTAACAAAATCAGGCTGCATACCCTCGATGGTGAGTATTGACACTCTATAAGTGCCGATACAGAGCATGCTGTATTTACTTTGCTATTAAATTCTTTTCTATCATGTTTGTCTTTACAGTTACTTCAGAGTGTGTGCCAGGAGGAGATAATCTCACATTGACTTGTGTGCTCACCTGCTCTAAAGAATGTGGAAAAGACTTCGATTTACTTTGGTCTGGAGGAAACCACAATAGCTGGCAGAGCGGTTTAATACATGTCAATAACACTCTTCTAAACAAGCTGTTTCTCCCAGTGCTTTCTGTTACTGGTGAATTAACTTGCTCTATACAAAGAGAGGGGAGAGTCATGGCGTCAAAGAAATGGCGCTCTATTGACCGTAAGTATACCTTGTGTTAATGTTGCCTTTTCTCCTAAATGAATTCAACAAATGTTTATGGGAAACTAAAAGTGATAGTTATTCCACATCTGCAGTTCTGCAAACGCCAGGGTAGCTGTTCCTCTAGCCCTCCTGATGTGTATATCTGCCATTGGACTTTACATGTACATGAAGAGGAAGCACAACACAAATACAGGTAGTGAGAGCAGTTAAGGAGCTGCACAACTTTCAGTACATCTACTGTAATGAAATTATACCTAAATGGCTGCTGTTTTCTTACTTTTCTCTTTGCAGAAAATGAACAGCCAAGTATTGGAATGGTAAGAGATAAAAATGATAAAATAACCTTTGTGTCTGATATTCCAGTGATATAACTCCAGTGTTTCTCTACACAGACTCATATTTACGAGGTCATTCAAGAAAAACATATCGAGGGACCACACCAGCACAGGCACACCGAAAGAGGAGCTGTCACCACAACTGACAGTTTTTATGATTTATTACAGGCTGTAAACTAAAGGTTAATACAAATGTATAACATTGATTGCAACTATCCATTGTTTTAAATAAGAATACTTTCCTAGATCAGTTCTTATGACTCCTTTTTAATTATCATTGAAAATCCAACAGATATTGATTTAAATTGGATAACATATTAAAGGACATTTTTAATCTTCAACAGGCCTTCATTGCAATTAAATGAATACAGATGATTAGATGAATTAACAAAACAGTGTTAAAGTATTTTCAACATTCAAAGTGAAAGCAGAGGCTAGCATTGTTCATGTTTCACAGTGTACACATTTTCCATGCTGCTCCATATACGTCTTAGTTTCTCTCCCTCACAAGACAAACACTTTACAGGTTAGAAGATGTTACATGTTTCTGATGTGTAAATATAAGCAGGAGAATCACAAGGTCAATCTTCTTGTATGTCTTGAGCAGACGGAGAACTACTCATTCCAGACTGCAATGAAGGACAGAATTGTGTTATTTGTCTATTTGGATATACTGAGAGTTAAAGTTTGATTTTAAAAGAGTAGTTATAATTTGAGTTACTCACAAGTACACAGGCTTTCATCTGGGGAGTGTTGGTATAGACTGTCGAATCGATCATTTGTACGGTCTGTGTGATACAGTGAAAAAGTTGTCAGAGAAGTGGAAAACAAACCCAAAGCGGTCATAGTTACTAGACTGAAGAAAATAGTTAGAATATAAGATGGTGCTCACTCTCTGAAAGGGTGTTCACAATCTCATAACCACCATACTCTATAGGAGAACCTGTTGGACAACAAGAGAACAAAAAGCCATTTACACTTAACCAAACTGGAGGCTCAAGAAAATTACTGAAATAAAAGATAGATCAAACCTGCTGGAGGCCTCTGAGTTTGCTGTGTAACCGCCTGGGAGTTACGTCTGCAGTAGATGAACAATCCCATCAGGGCAGCCATTATGGCAATCGCAGTAATGACTGAAGCCACAACAACTGCCAAAAATACTTCACTGATCCTTTCCTTATCGCTTTCCAAAATAATCTCACTGGTTGTCAGTCCTGAAGAGGATCCATTAGTTACAATAGCAGATTGAACACAAAATGATTCATGCAATTACATTAAGATGTCAAATATTAGAGTTTTTGTTGCAGTACCTGGAACCGTTGTGTCCACAACAACTTGTTCCTCTTCTGAAAGAAACAGAAAAGGTACATTGGAGTCATGTATACTGTCATTTGTTGTCAGTTATAAAACCAAATAGTTTAAAATCTTACCTGAGACCAGTAGGTTAATATCAAAGCAGCGCTGGGTTTGATCAAGCGTGTAATTACATCTGTACCAACCGCTGTCAGTGTTATTCATAGACTGGATAGTTACTGATTTCCCATTTATTGCATCACTTTTAGAGTTGAAAGGTACCGGGTTGCCTCCTTTCAGCATTGCCCAGGAGATATTTGGGGGTCCTTGTTGTCCTGCTGTTTTGTCCACAGGGCAGTTCAGGGTAACGGGGGTGCTGAGAGCTGCCTTTACTGGCTGGAGGTTTTTGCAGTCTGAAAGAGGATAGATTTGTGTAATACTTTAGAGGGAGATATTTTTAAGAGAGCGAAAATAAGAAAGATATAAAGTGTGACATTACCTTTCACTTTCAAAGATATGTTTTTGACAAGAATAGAATCCCAGCCTTTCCAGATTTCACATCCGTACAGTCCCTCATCAGATTTTTGTGATTTTGTCAGAGTAATAGACATGTGTCCGTTTTTATCAGCTTGCCATTTCACACGTTGAGCATCCTTGAATTTGGATATTTCAGGCCTGGCAAGGATCACCTTCATCTGACTGGAATCTGTTGCATGTTTAATCAATTTGACTCTAAAGCACGTGTCCTTATCAGTCATGACTGGATCAGAAAAAGGGAGAACTACGTCTTCTCCTAGAGAAGCAGACACTAACACTAGTGAGCCACCTTTAACAAAATAAGAGATAAAAAATAGGATTATTTAAGAAAAATACCTGTATATAGGGTTTTCATATAGCACGCACTAAAACATTTAGTGTCAGACCTGTAAAGCAGATGATTCAAGATTTCACAATACAAGGAAGATGTCAAACATATTATTACATCAGCTATTAAAAAGGAAAATATATGTGATACCCTTCAATTTTAAATACAGTCACAATTGGTGTATACCTATTTTGTATCCAGGCTATACAAAATAAATGACATTCTGAATTTGGTAAATAAAATATCTAGGGACTTACTCACCTCTGCACTCTGATATATTTAACAGCAATAATAGCAGGAGAGGCTGTGGATAAAACTGTGCCATTTTCTGAGTAATGTAGCGGAATGGCTTTTCAAAGTGTTATTCTCTGGTAGACCTTTCACTCCTATTCTCAGTTCTCTAAGTCACACAGAAGTCATCACATGAAACTAGCTGCAGAGACAAAAATTACTTGTTGTTTTACCTGATTATGTGACCAATAGAGACACCATGTGGCAAAAACAAGACATTACATCTAGTTGACAAATTGAAAATAAGAGCACAAGAGCTTTTTGACTATGGGCTTCATCCTTATTTTTCAAATGATCTGTGCCTATTAGATTTATCTGTGCTAATGTACGTGTTTTTTTGTCTATTGTGTGTTTATGTGTTGTATTAATGTGCTTTTAATTGGGCATATGTGCTTTAATATGTGCTGTAATTGTGCTAATTGTGCAATTGTCTTAAAATGTGCTCATGTCTTTTTCTATGTCTTTTTTAATGCCATGAACTGCAGATGAAAATTAGCCTCTATGGTTAAATATGGCACACATGCATGATCAACTAAAATGCTTTTAATAATTAACGTGCATTGTCGCTTCTTAAATAAGTAAAATTCTGTGTTGTCAAGTATTTTATGAAGCTTGCATTTTAATGTGTAAGTGAAACAGAAGAACAAGCTTGCTCCTCCCATCACTGAGGTGCCCTTGAGCACGACATTCAACCCCCAACTGCTGCAGTGAAGAGGCTCAGTGGCTGGCAGACTTGATTTTATTCAAACACTCCTTATAAACAGATGTCTAAAAATGATTAACGTGCATTGCTCTCAGTTCCTAAACACAAACGTCCTTCCTCAATTACAATCTTAACTCTTGTAACTGGTGGAGCGGCATTTCCCTTCCACATAGACTGCATTCGAGTCCGTAAAGTCAGATAGTCCTAGCCATTACACATCAGGTATCTTGCATGCAAACTTCTCTTATTGCAATACAACAGGGTTTTTTCTTACTTGTCAAATTCAGTGTGTGTCAATGTTATGATGGGCATTCTGACCTGACCCAACTGACCTTTGTTTTACTGTCGCCTTAAACAGAGGAATGTCACTAATGCAAACTGAAACTTTGTAACTTCACTTCCTCTTGTGGCTTGATAAAGAGAAACGCCATCATAGCTTTTCACACTTCCAGTGTTCACATCCTCTTAGCACAGTGCACAGAAATGGACCACAATGCTCAAGGTCAGTTTGTCTTTTTTTTTCAAATATGTTTGTCAGTTGACTTTTTTTTTAAATGTTGTCTTTTATGTTGTTTCACAGGAGGTAAAGCCTATGGTCTTCTCAAGTCTCAACAGGAAGAAAGGCTGCTGTCTATAAATGAGGTGTGTTGATATTTTTAGACAAAGTCAGCCAATTTCAATAGCGATAAATGGATTTTGTATAGTTTTTCTACCCACAAGGGCCTGACATATGTGCAATATCAAACTAATGTCAGTTTTATTGTTTTTATTTTTTATTATCACCCTTAGACTTATCTGTCAGACCCCCAGCATGCTGAAGAGGAAGACCTTAGCTCAAAGCTTGACATGTTTCAAAGTGAGTATTCAAAGGCTGCCAATCGCTTATCAGTAAATTGTCTTATAATTTAGTGCAAAGATATATAATTTGAATACAATTACATTTGCTTTTATCACAGAAAAGTACATGGAGTTTGATCTAAACGACCAAGGAGAAATAGGTAAAACGCCACCGATCATAAAACCCTCAAATATCTTTTGCTACAGTTTGCAACTCTTGCTCTCAGTAATGACTCACAACATCTTAACATATTCATACTATATAAGCACTTTGAATGTATTGGCTGTCTTTGATCTTTATAGATTTAATGGGGTTAAAACAAATGCTGGAAAAACTTGGATTGGCCAAGACTCACCTAGAGCTGAAAAAGATGATGTCAGAGGTGGTTGGAGATACATCTAAAGAAACGATAAGCTACAACGACTTCCTGAATATGATGCTTGGAAAAAGAAATGCAATTCTCAAACTGTAAGTCAAAACTTGGTCACAAGGAGGGCTATTTTTGATGATGATCCTCAAGCCTTGATCTAGCTGATAAAACTGCTAAAAATTCACGTGAGTTTTAATCACAATATATCAATTAAAACTTGAACAACTAAAAATGCAACAATGTATTCAGTGTGAAAAGCACTTAAGTATCTGCTAGATCTGTGTCATGTGATGTTCATTGTTTTAATGCAGGAGTAATCTCTATCGTGTTTAAAGTTAAAACATTAATAGAAATGTCGTACAGTATAGTAACTGACATGTTGTGTTTTACATTAAAGGATCTTGATGTTTGAAGGCATGGGAAAGGAGCAGGACAAGAAAGATGTTGCACCGCCTTCTCGCAAAACCTTTGCAGACCTGCCATGATGGAGTTCTCCATCCCAGAAAGGATTGTTTTTGTATTACAACATAACCCAGGATTAAATGCTGCAAAATTAATGTCAATAGAAATGACAACATCAAACAAATTGTTGAAATGTGCAAATGTTTTTTTATAAAGTATTCAAATCTACCAGATTAAAACATAACCTAGGTCTAATGCTTCAAAATGCATGTCAAAATAAATACACATATATTGTTCACATGTGCAAAGGTTTTTTTAAATTTAAATAAAAATTAAAGAATCTACCAAAACTTTTCTGCATTCTGCCTTGTCTGATTGTGACCACAGAACAGATGTCCTACTTTATAGCCAACTAATTACTTGCAAATGCCATCATACCATAACCTGTTGATCTAGATTCTATATGATGTGGTTTAGCTGCTTAAATACAAAACATGACATATTGATTAACCCTTATCATCTTAGTCAAAATACCAACATGTTTCTTTAATAAATAAAGGAATAACACTCTCTTTCATAAGATAAATTAAACATTTGATCATATTAAAAAAGACAATGCCCACCAAGATTGAAAAATCCTACATTCTACGTTACCCTTACTTTGTTTTAAATTTATAAAAAAAGTGAAGGTGAAGAAAAGTGAAGTTTGTTCATGTTTTTCACATAAAGTGTAACGAGAATTGTATTTTGTTATGGTCAATGCCAACAATTAGTTAACATAATAGCCGCGTTCACACCGGAGTACTTTTCGCGTTTAGTTCCGTTAGTACCCCTAATCGCATTTCCCTTTTCTGTGCTGTTCTTTCTTTGAGATGTCATGAAGAACTTTATTTTGAAAAATACGGCTGACCGGAAAACGACGTGCATGTCATCCGGGGAGCGAGGATAAACTAGCTAAGCTTGCAGGTTAATGTGGTAACTAATATAGAGAAAGGTGAGTAAAAGTGACTTTCTGGAAACAAATATACACATGCATGAGAAACTATGTTTAAAGACAGTTTGCAGTTACAATTAATGTCAGCAATATCTATCTGTACGATGTGTGTTCACGCTAACGAATGCTAGCAATTAAGCTAACGTTAGCAGCAGGTTAGATAGGCAAACTCCAAGGTATATTGAACATTAGCAATATAAAAGAACACTTTTGTTCTAAGTCCAAGAAAGGACAGATTGAGTTTGTTTGAAACAAGTTAAATCTGTGTTTATAAAGTCCACATCTCAAGGATATGAACTGCCGGATTTAGCTGTTAGCCATAGTGAAGATGTACATGAATATTGTTGTTTTGTCAGGAGGATGAGCAGCTCAGAGGAGGTGTCCTGGATCTCCTGGTTCTGTGGACTCAGAGGGAATGAGTTCTTTTGTGAGGTTAGTCCCCCGCATTAATAATATACAATCTACATTGTACAGCCTCGGTTTGAAATCAGCACTAACTGAACAAGTTATCGAAAATGCAGAGCTACACTGAGGGGAAAACAATGTATGTGCACATGCTTTTAACACACGAATGAAGTCTGACATCAGCAGAATGAACAGCAGATTCGTGCAGGACACTTTACATCAGGGGTGTCCAAACTTTTATCACCGAGGGCCATATACAGAAAAATATACGAAGGGCTGGGCCACTCACCAGTGGCGGTTCTAGACCAATTTGACTGGGGGGGGGGGCCAGGCTGGGACCAGTTATTTTCTGAGGGGGGCACAATAAATGCAGGACGAAAAAGACAAAGACAGTACTATGAAGTAATTGCGCATAAGAAAACAATGCAATACAGTTATTGGTATTTGTTTCAGTACACATATTTATTTCAGATACTTATAGTTACAGTTTTTACGCTCTAATGCAGGGGTCTCCAACCTTTTTTAGGATGAGAGCTACTTTCAAAAAATAAAACAAGTCGTGAGCTACTTTTACTCCTTTTTTAGTTTTTTGCAGTGTATATATTTAGCACATTTAAACATTATCATATGCTTACCTTTAACCTTTGTGTGCTGTTTGGGTCTGTGGGATCCGTTTTCAGTGTTTACTAAAAGAAAATGTATGCAATTTAATTATTTTAACCTGCGTTATTTGGGGGGGGTCCTCACCTCCTCTAGGGGGGTCCGGGGGCATGCACCCCCGGGAAGATTTTTTTTAAATGTGGAAGTTAAATGCATCAATCTGGTGCACTTTGAGCACAACATGAATTTATGGATACAGCTCTCAACACTCATATGAAAGGGAGCTGTATACTTTTCAATAATCCAAACATCTTTAGAATATGATCACAACCAATAACAAATCATTTAAACTTGATTATTCTTATCTTATGTTACCTAGTTAGCTTCTTTCTTTTTATTTATGCATATTTTACTAATCACTCCCATTTGGCTTCTTTCTTATCAACTAATATATGTTTACTTTAATTTACTGAATTTATTTGAAAAGTGGTCTTAACACATGAATACTACTGATTACTACTGTGTAATATATGTTTACATTTATATTTAAGAAGTATAAGACAAGCACAAGTTTCATTTGTGGGCCATATTCCATTATACTTTTTGAATTTGCTGAGGGCCGATTCAAAATGGTCCGCGGGCCGCAGTTTGGACACCCCTGCTTTACAGACACCTCAGTCAACTCCAACATCTGCTATCAGGGTATCGGATAGGATGCACATTTGACAGGATCAAACCATCAAGTGGGTAAAATGCACAGTATAACAGCAGCTATAACCCTATAAACACATGTATACACTTAGCACACAATAGCGCATCTATGCAAACAGCCGCATCACACACGCAAGCCTCAATGTGTTAAGAAAATATCTGCAGAGGTGTTTATATGTAAACCTGCATATAGCAACCGTATTTATTTTTTAAAGCAACAGTCATAAACTATTTGGTGTCACAGTGTGGTTTCACATTAAGCCGGAAACAAATGTGTGAGATCAGTTTCATGTCTGGCTGGATTAAAGGTTCAAACTATTTACACAAATACTGCTGCAAAAACAAAGTAAGCACTTCCCCGTTAGAGCCACTTCCCTCTGCTGTTTGCTACTACTCTGCTCCACCCAAGCATATGGTGCCTTTAAAAAAAAAAAATGTTTATAAAGAGAGACAAGTTAAATAAGAATAAAACACTTAACATAAAACTAATTGTGTTGTCAGTATAGTATATCAATGTGCATCTCACTGGTGGGTCTGATTAAGTTAGCACTAACACAATACAACTCTAACCCCAAGCTTTCTTCATCGACAGGATCTAAGTCAGTGGTTCTCAACTGGTGGGTCGCGACCCAAAAGTGGGTCGCAGATGTGTGAGTGAAGAAAAAAAGAAGTTGAAAAAAAATATATATCTTTTTTTATTTATTTTTTTCTTCACTCACACATCTGCGACCCAAAGGTGGGTCGCAGATGTGTGACCCAAAAGTGGGTCGCAGATGTGTGACCCAAAAGTGGGTCGCAGATGTGTGAGTGAAGAAAAAAAAAAAGTTGAAAAAAAATATATATCTTTTTTTATTTTTTTTAAAAAAGTCAAACTTATTTTGAAGACCCGATTTTCTAACGCTGTGCATGCAGTAGGCGTTGGACTGGAAGTACCGGAGACCATAAACGGTTTTGAAAACTTCTGTCACGTAGTGATCATCTTCTCAATACAACATCTTTGCTGATGTTTTTTCGAGTCTTCTGGCCAATCAGAATCAAGATTTTTGCCGGAAGTCCCCACGGAGAATAACTGAGGTAGAACTATTCTTTATACATCCATGGGTACAACTTCAGATAAAAATGAACACATAATTAAATATGACCCCCGGTTTGATGATTGACAGGTCACAGAACAATGGGAGCTATCTACCCTACCCACAATTTAAAGTAATTCACACAGACTATCTCCTCTTTGCTCTTCTCTCTGTGAGGAGCAGCAAGTTCAGCTGTCAGAACAAAGTGAAAAACAAACAATGGCATTGGGTTTTCAGCATGTGTGCTTTTTTATGTTATACAGTTCAACTTTGATTCCATCATCTCATTAAACTTTATTTAAAAGCATTCTTTAGTTCTGTGAAGGGATATATGCACTGTACTTCACTTTCATTAATCTTGTATGCTGCAAAGCGTATATATTACAGCACGATTTTTTGTTGAATAGATTTGAGTGGTTCAAATTTTAGGTCACGATCTATTGACAAAGGAAAATGTGGGTCCCGAGGCCTGACCAGTTGAGAACCACTGATCTAAGTAATCCTGTTAAGCTCTTGCATAATGCTTCCTTATCAGTGTGCTTGAGCAATGTGCTGTTGCAACAGATACATACCATTAATAGCCATTTATCATCTTCAATTGTGTGTGTTACAGGTTGATGAAGACTACATACAGGACAAGTTTAACCTGACGGGTTTGAATGAGCAGGTGCCTCACTATCGCCAGGCTTTGGACATGATTCTAGACCTGGAGCCAGGTGAGAATATCAAGGAAGTAGCTGTTCCCATGAGAAATTAAATTATTAATAGTCAACACTTGAATTTGACAGATGAGGAACTGGAAGATAACCCCAATCAGAGTGACTTGATCGAGCAGGCGGCGGAGATGCTCTACGGGCTCATTCATGCACGTTACATCCTCACAAACAGAGGCATTGCACAAATGGTAGGTTATTACTAAATCATGTCAAGTTCTTACTTGCCCCATGACATGAATCATCAGTGATTTTGAAATGTGTTGTTTTTCATAGTTGGAAAAATATCAACAAGGGGATTTCGGCTATTGCCCTAGAGTCTATTGTGAGAATCAGCCGATGCTTCCTATTGGTGAGTCTGACTTCCTATTAACACGTTCTGCCTCACACAAAGCACATGCTGCACCTTTGACCTTTGTTAGAGGATTTGCAGACACTCACCCATCTGTTGTCTGATGCAGGTTTGTCCGACATCCCTGGAGAAGCAATGGTGAAGCTTTACTGCCCAAAGTGTATGGATGTTTACACACCCAAATCCTCCAGACACCACCACACAGATGGAGCGTATTTTGGGACGGGGTTCCCCCACATGCTGTTCATGGTGCATCCAGAGTATCGTCCAAAGCGACCAGCCAATCAGTTTGTGCCAAGGTGCGTTTGATCTGACTCAAGTTATGTATTGTCAGTATTAGCTTTAACTAGCATTAACAGTACACACTTTTGAATATTAAACACACACTTAAAGTTTAAATACATATGGATTAAGCATAAAAGTAGACATTGTTTGTGGTCAGATTTATCTTATTTGTCATCATTTAAATTTCAATCATTTTAGATGTTTTAGTGTCTAAATATTTAGCTTTGATCTCAGGTGTAAATAAAAATGTACTTCTGCCAGAAAGTGATTTTGTTTCATGTTTTTTTCTTTCAGGCTATATGGTTTCAAAATCCACCCAATGGCCTATCAACTCCAACTTCAGGCTGCATCAAGTTTCAAGAGCCCAGTCAAGACAATTCGCTAGAACGCCGCCCGACGAACACAGTGGACTGAAAGACTTTGTTGTTTACTACTTGTTTGAAAGAATGAATAATATATTCCAAATAAATGCCTGTACAGTTTCCCAAACTTGAATAGACGCTTAGATTTAGACATACTTCTTATTTAGTGAAACACTGTTACAGTTGAGCAGGATTTTTCTCTTCCATATTTAACGTTGAGCTATTACCAACGGGTCAATCTCCTGTAAGTGTTTAACGTTAATTGATGTCAATCCTTTGACTCGATCATGAAGTGCTTTGTGGTTTAATTGAATGTAACAAAACATCTTGCCAACAGCCCAATGGGTGTTTCCTATCAGTGAGTCAGTCAATGCTTTTGAAATTCAACATTAAATACCATCAAATCCTTAACTTGTGTGTGTCAATGTGAACAGGAGGTATTTCCAAAAAGCAATGGCAAACTCGAAAAATTGACCTATTCTGGATTTCAATTGTATTCCTTTGTTCGTTTAACTTTAAATTCAGTGGTTTTATTATGTTTTGGCAACTGTAACAATGATTTCCTGTATGTGTTTGATGTTTACAATCTGAACAGATTTAACTTTTTTTTTTTCAAGAGTTTGGTATCGATTAAACATGCAGCAACATTTACAGTGGAGCTAGTGAATGGCATTAAATATTGATTTCGTACCAAAATATTTTCTTTGAATTGTATGCTACACATATAGAACGCCAAATAAAATGCAAAATTATGCATATTTTATTATTTCATAAAAAGACAGGGATAAGTCACAAAGCAACAACTATTTTCTTCATGTGAAATTCTACATTTTCTTCCAGGAGAGGTTTCTGTTGTCCATGTAGCTACAATACCAATGGCTTATTTTTGGGTAGAAAAAAGAAATGGCTAACAAACATGCTATCTAAAAAGGGATTCATATATTTTAAGCATTTTCTCTTCTATGAAAAAGCACAAGAAACAGCAAGTGTGAGCAATCTACTTAGACTATGTGGTAAAAAGGCTTTACAAACTTGGTTGATAATTAATGCAATATTTAACATTGTGACATCTCTAGTGAAAGCCTGGAAAACAGCTTGTGTTGAAACATCACAGTACATCAAATCACACAACAGTTCCTACTTTACAAATAAATTACTGTATAGTAGAACATGTAAAAAAGACAATTTGTGCTCCTATGAGAGAAAAGCCACATATATACTGGGACAGCTGCCTGCACCTCTCGCGTGGTTACTGGGACAAACCAGCTTTGCATGTATTGACCTCACTTGGCTGAACATCAATGTACATTTAAAGTAGGGATGTTTATACATATATGGACATTCCTCGTACAATCATATGGAGGTCTGTAGTCTTACAAAGAATATCAAAACCTGAGATTAACAGACCAAAGCTTGTAAAACTTTTCTTATCAACCAAATATATTAAAAGAAATATGACTTTCTACTACTGAACAAAACAAAGGGCTGAGGGAAGCACTCCCTTGTCTTATTGTTAAAGGTTTGATAAACTTGGTGGACTACAAGAGGAAACGAATAAGAATGATTCAGGCAAGACAGGTCTTTAGTAGAGACCTCAAAGTTCAGTAAACAGCACAATGGTAACCTGCAATTCCACGAGCAGATGGATGAATAACTTAAAAACCTCAAATGTGTACAAATTCTATAAAAGCATTAATTCTATAAAATAGAGAAATATTTGAAAATAGATCCATTTTTTGATTAAAACTTTACAATAATGTGTAGGCTGCTGGTTCTTGGCTGGTTAGGGAAGAACTTGCTTTTGACTTTTTGTTTTTGTAACTGAGCAGCGAACAACTGTCCACATTTAAGCACAGAATGTCTTTGCTCACTTATTGATGCGAGGTACGTCATTTTGTTTTAAACAATTCTTTCTCTTGAATTAAATAGACATGTAAACAAAAATAATTCCCTTGAATGTAGTCTTAACGTTCCCCTAGCATCACCAAGGGAATAAATGCTGATAATGGTGTCTAAACTAGAATTGAAACAGTGCATTTGTATAAAACCAAAAAATGTAAAAACCACTAGGAAAATAAAAGCATTTAAAAGCAAACATAACTGGGATCACTCGACTGAAAATGATGTTTTTTTAACCAATAAAAGATTGTATAGTAAGCTTTTTAACACCAGTATGAGATAAGCCATCTAACTTGAGCACTGTGCAGCCCCCCCACTACATATAACTGGAAAAACAAAGAGGATCTACTCATTCATCTATAAAGGTAGGTAGAATATTTATGAGATATTGTCCTGGGATATGTGTGCGCAGGTAGTCGGTGTGTGTCTGAGGTGAAGAGTCAAAGGATAAATGCAGGTGGTGATTCAATTACAATGCTGATGCTCCGCCGTCTCTCTCCTGAAACACAGACATTATTTGCACTATTATTAGTCTTTATATGAAATAATAAAGTACATTTGTCTCTATATTCATTAGATAATGAAGCTTTGGACACAACTAAGCCGGCTATTTCTTCCTGTTTCTGGTCTGTATGTCAATCTAAGCTCAGCATCTCCTTTTTTCTGGAGAGCTATGAGAAGAGTATTTATCTTACCATTTTACTTTCAACAAGAAAGCAAATAATGGTATAATCCAAAATGCCGAACTAGTCCTTAAAAATCTTGTCCAATACTATTTTGTTTTACGGGCAGGATGTTCCTACCATATCTTGGTCAAAGTCAGACTCTGCAGTTATGACGATTCTCTTCTCCACCCGAGTCTCTGAAGATCCACTTTTCACTACCTGTTGGGAAGAAAATAGTTGAGAGGTAAAGTAAGGCAAAGCAAGGCAAGTTTATTTATATAGCACCTTTCAACACAAGGCAATTCCAAGTACTTTACAAAAATGAAGGATATTAAGAAATGGTGCAGTGGAAACACATTATAAAATGGCATTTAAAACAGTCATTAAAAAGATAATCAAATAAACAGTTACAGTGCAGTGTAAGATATGAATAGTTCAATTAAAAGCAGGGGCAAAAAGAAAAGTCTTCAGGTATTATAACTTACATTAAAATTAGAAAAGGTGTCCGCCAAGGTTTTACATTTTTTTGAACATGAGGTCATTGAGTATACTTTAATTTAGGTGCAGAAAAAATATGAGTCTGATGGGTTCAGTAGTATGCCACACACACACACGCACACACGCACGCGCGCACACACACACACACAGTCCCCTCCAGGTTTAAGCCTGGCGGAGATAACCAACAGAGAGAAAGATTGTGTTGCTGACCTTTGAGATGTGAGTGGTGGTGACCGTGGTGCCGCTGCTGGTCTCCGAGGTAACGGTCTGAGAGGTGGTCATAGTTGAGCCATCTTTTTCTTCGTCCGTCCCAACTGTCTCCTGAGGTAAAAAAAAGACAGGTTGACTGAGTAACTGTTTTTAAGGTAAGGTGACCCTGAGCCAGGGAAGGTGCAGTGCTGCCTCATGCTTATTGTGGAGCCCCTGGCCTGACCCCCCCAGACCCGCTGATATCTCCTCTAAACATGGAAGGCTTAAAGCCGACACAGATCTGGGCTGAGCAGGTCCTGGAGCCCCTACCTTTGATGAGTCATAGATGAAGCTCTTGGTCTGGACGAGAGGGACCTCTGTGGTGGAGATGCCAGGGGCGGAGGAGTTGGAGACAGCTGTGATGGTGACTGTCTGGGTCTGCACCAGAGGGGGCTGTGGATGGGAGCATAGCCCCATGAGTGGCTGTTTAACCACACACCTCACAGCAATGTGCTTCACACCATGCATTCCCTTTTTAGCATTTGCAGTGTGGCGTGATTTTCACCTCAACAGCCCTTTCTTTGTCACCAAATTAGATTTTTGGAAACAACAGAATCACCTTGTTACTTCCCACCACCAACTACTTGAAAAGGAAACGGGGAGATGTGAAAAGCCATATGTGTGTTGGGAAGATGAAGTTAATGTTCAAAACAAAACATGCCAGAGAATAATGTGCTAGTGTTATAGCAACCCTTCACCGTAGCTATGATCACACCCATGTGCAACACCTCTGCTGCAACCATTTTCTCTTGTATCAACACATTTCACACAGCTCTTTACAGATTCACATGCTTTGTTTAATGATAGTGCTGCAAAGGAGTGAGCGAGTGTGCCCTTGAAATCATAGAAAGGCAAAGTAAAGACGGAGTCGCCCGGAGACGGGGTCAGGAGGCTACCTGGAAGCAGCGTACGACCTGCGGACCATCGCTCCTGAAACAGGAAGCTGGGGAACGTCCGACTATCTTTCCAGAGCTCTCCGACACTTCTGGACATGATCCTTCCTCCTCCAGGATCCTTTCTAAAGCTTTACAGCAGGGGTCGAAGGAGGGAGGCAGCTGCGCCATCTCCCCCTCTATGATGGGCACCAAGGAGGTTTCAAAAACTACAACCACTTCCTTATCATGTGACTCCTCAACTGGAACGCCGCGGGCTTCGACACTATCAGGCTCACTCATGTGGCTCACAGTAGGACTTGATATGCCTGAAAAGCCCAAACTGCTGCTGGTTTCCTCGTTTGCCGTCTTTGTCTCTGAACCATTGCAAAGGAGACTAATGCACACGCTCTAAAAGAAGACACAACACAGTATCTGTGTGATCGTATGTTGGAGAAGTGCTTCCTACTGACATGATATGAAGTCATATTTATCTAAATTATAATGCATGCGTTTAAAAAAAAAAATACTATTATGTTTACAGTATGTACAGAGAACAGTATCCATGTTATGAGGTTGTACAGCTCTGTAGGAACATGATGATTTTAAAGGGTTGAATTAGATTGTATATGACATAATTAACATTTGAACTCCACAGCATAACAATACTAGTTTGTATAGTATAGAGCATGTGTATCCCTTCATCTTTTCCTAACTGATTTCCACATGACGCATGCAGCAGTATGTCACCAAATAAGATGGATACTGAATACCTGTATTGCTAAACATTTTTTATCAATGAAAAGTGTGAGAACCCATTTCAAGGAACACACACTCATATGAGCTGTACTGTACATGGAATGCCTTTTATTCTTTGGTCAGAGTTGATTGTCAAAACGTCATGCAACAAGGAATCTTTTGCAGTTGCTACATACTGCCTCGATAAAATACTGGTGAAGGACAAAGAGGTTAATATGTATCACAATAAAGCTGCCTCGAGGTCTCCCATCACAGGAAATACTATACTGGGACAACAAATACTGAAAAGATTCTCAGTAACAACACTGCGGTTTTTGGTGCTTTGTTAACGTGGATTTAGGAAAAAAGTTTACTTATCCAAAAATCACATCACAGTGATCAGCCTAGACAATATCCTTAGACAACAGACAATATAAATATACCTCAAATTGTGTATAAAAGCAGGCTCAAAGTGATACGGTCAGGCATTATACGCCTCCAGTCAGTTGTCAGGTAGAATTGATGATTTCAAGTCAAAGAGACAACGCAGAAAATGCCAAATGGCTTGATTGTCTTTCCCAGTGCAAGTCTGTTTCTGGCCGGAGCAACCAGGTCTGCGGTTCGAAACAAAGGGAATGAAAGTCTTGTCCCACAGATGCCAGAAGAAGAAGAAAAATTGGGCAGCTGGAGGATGAGAGATGAAGAAAGCTACAGTGATGTCGCAGAGGAGGCGTAGGAAGGAGAGGAGGAGAAGAGAAAGCGAGAGGTTGATGGGTAGATGGATTAGGTGCCGTCTCCCCCAGTCACACTCACACCTGTGTGGGATTCCCGCAGGGTTCGAGACGGCCCCTCAGCTGCGTTTGGAGTAGAAGTCGAGCAGGGGGCCGCGTGGGAGGCGGATGACAAACTGAGGGGGGGAGGAGGAGGAGGAGGAGGAGGAAGGGGTGGGGGAGAGAGATGGAAGGAAGGAATTTTGAAATGACCCATAAATTAAATGAATCTTGAAAAAAGCCAGAGTTGAGTAATAACGTTGTAATGAAATAATAAAATGGGATTTTGATTGCTTCTTATTTTTTGTCCAGATCATGGAAACGTTACTGGCATTTTTCCATGTCCAACAATTCATTTTTTTCTGAAAAGACAGAAATTCATCCACTATTGTATCTTATTTATAAATATAATTGAATGATCTCAGTAAGCTGAGGAGAATGAAGAATGTACAGCCAAAAGGATCTTAGGCCTCTGGCTGGAGGATGTTAGATTGACCTATGTGCTATGTTGTGTTTAATCAGTCATTTGATTTGATCTGTGTAAGGCTGCCTTGTAACAACATAGCTAAGAACTCAATTCTTATCTTAAGTAGCAAGTCAGGAAGTAGCAGGACACATTCTGCTGCTGCGTGCCAAAAACTTGCAAACCCACATTGATATTAATCTGTACTTGTGCAAATGTTAACTCCCACACTAGGGGCTTAAGTCTGACAACTGAAGGTTAAGCAAAAATGACAAACTGGCTTGAAATTGAGCTAAAGAGTGTGTGTCCGATCCACTGGGCAGACAACATTTGACCAATGTCATATTGCTGTTCTGATTCATCTCGTCACAGCAGACTCTAAGCTGTCAGATTTGATTTGCTTTGATTTCAGTGCAGCCCTAATGCATCCTGACAATATCATTTACTTGGAGGCATTTTTCCCCAAGTGTAACAAATATGTGTGTCCAAACAGTTATGCTGCACTTCAGTTACCGTCTCACCAAAAGGCATACAAAATAAACTTAAGTAGAATACACTTGTTTATTCGTGTGACAGCAGTTCAGCTAAATTGGGGGTTGTTTCTAGTGTAATAGAGAGCTTCATATTTGAACTGTAACACAACTGTTAATACCAGCAATGACACAGTTGTTATAATGGATTCCTTTCATAGTTTACATTATGTTTTAGTCGAGGCATTGTGGTGCAAAAGCTGCTGATACAACTGTGTATGAGGTCTCGTCTTTTCAGGGGAAAACAACCATGGCTTGGGGCGGGGCAGCAGCCAAGACATTTACAAATCAGTGTAAAAAGAAAAAGTGCAAAGAAAAAGTATTAAAAGCGAAAGAAAGCTCTCCAATGAAGGAGGGACAGCGGAGAGGGGAAAAGGTCAATTCTGCTCAGTGTAAGCAGAACGTGCAGTCATGCGGTAAAGTTTACAAGTCAGGTCCGTCAGTCATGCAATCAAAACAAAGTCAGAGCTCAGAGGCATCCATCGCAGATAAGAGGAGGAGAGGAGCCAGATCTCAGAGAGGACAATCTGTCCCAGAGACGCTTCACACACAAAGTACAGACCCTATTCAACATGTCCATCTGCATTCTTCATACAGTACACATGCATGTGCTGCATTCCACATGCCATCTCCTTGAATAGGTCTACATGCACACACCATCCATTTGCACTCAGACTGTAAGCGGAGCAAGAAGGACACATGGAAGAAGCTGATCCCTTCTTCTATCGGTCTTAGAATCAATGCTAGTTTCAGGGTCTTCTGTTCCCTTTGCAAACCATGCACACTGCTCACACTAGTGCACAGATGTTTATCCAAACATCTCTAAAACTGCAGAGCCATGAACAACACTTAGGATGATGCATGTGTAAGTACAGCTTTAACCAAGACAACTTGGAAATTGTCAGAGGTTTCAAAATCAATTTAAATGTTTGCTTTGTTTGCTTCAATTCCTGAGCAGGCTGACTTATAGTAGTTACATCAACATACATTTGTTGGTGTTTTCTGTGGGAGACTTACCCCATCTGCACCGGGCTGGCCGTTGACCCCCAGGGTGCGGAACGGAGAGTGTGTGGACAGACGCTTGTCCCACTCACTGGGCCTGCTCTCCGGGGCGGAGGCCATGAAGGTCCTCTTCAGCTCACTGATGCTGGCATGATGCTTGATCAGGTCCTCCTGAGGCTTATCAAACTCCTGCAGGGAGGAGAGCCAAGAGGGGACAGAGAGTGTGGAGGGGGAGGGGGCAGGGGGGGAGGGAGCAGGGAATTGGGCCATGCAACAATAAAAAAAGGGAGAAACAATAGGGGAAGGAAAGGGAAGATGACGGATGGGGTTCGTAGTTGGGAAATCAAACGGGAGAGAATAAAGAAAAGTCAGTTTGTGTTGCTTCCTCCTGTTTCTGTACAATTTGTGTTGATTAATGAATAAGCATCAGCAGCAGCCGCAGCAGGGTTATTTGGTGATTCTAAAAGGAACATAGGGTTCAATCATCTACATCAAAACTATGTGGATTCTTAATAGATTAACAACATATTTTCAACATTTAAATCATTCTGGTGGCTGATTCATGAGAGCAGACTTTGGTGAAGGTTCAAAGGAGTAAGTGCCACGTTGATCAAATGTAATTTGAGATTTGGATGGGAAGGAGCTACAAGCTGCACATCACATAGTTAATGGTGTATTTTAAAGCATTTAGCAGTGAAGCCCTTGAAAAAACAGGCTGCAAATGAAAGAGCAGAAGACGTGATGAAGAAAGAGAAAGCCTGAGTATGAATGAAAACCTCATTTGACACAAAAGAACAAAAGCAACAGTAGCAGCTCTCATTTGGCCACATTTAGCACCAAGTTGATCTTAATTGAATATATCGTCACTTAATGTTAAGTGTTTCTCCAAAAGTCATACCTTTTACAAATGACAGAAAATGTATATTTTTTTATTCACATTTCTATGGTCAAAAGATGTCATTTTTGTAGAATTATATGGAGGTAAACGAGCAAAAGCAGGAACAGGAGAATACTGATGATCTTGGGAAAAAATGTACCAAATAAAAATGTAGCTGCTTATGAAGAGTGACAGGATGCAGCATCCTTAACAAGTTTGCGGATACCAAAGCATCTTTGATTTGCAAAACACACAACGTTATCATTTATTCTGCAGCAATTAAACGCCGATGCATAAAGTGAGAATCATGCCACATGCAAGCGTGATATGAAAGAGCAGCCGTGCCAAAGAGCAGGAAAACACAGATAGAGACGGACATCTCCAGAAGGGATACAAACCTCCAACATTAAAAGGCTATGTCTGATATAAATCGAGTCACCCTCATTTCTCTTAGCTCTTTTCTGTGAAAAAGAACAAAAAAGGTGTGGGTTTGTTTCAGCTGCCCTGTGTGCTTGAAGATATGTTGGACATGCATACTACAACATTCACTACAGTGTTAATACAAACAGAGCTGTGAGGAGTCTGCATGCAAAATAGTTGAGGGTTAAGTGAGTATAAGAGTCGAACGGCAATGCACTAACGAACCAAAGGACCTAAGGCTATAGAGGACTGCCTTAGGGTATCTATTTGCACAAAGAAAACAAACAAATAAAGAACCTAAAGTGAAAGAAATGTTATCAAACACCAGTAATCATGCAACTTCTTAGTTAAGTGCACAAATCTATAATCATGCATGTGTGCATTCCAGGGTGAAAACAGCAAGCAATGAGAGGAAATGAATGCCGTGTAAACTTTAAATCAGATAATCTGTGTAAAAACGTATAATCTGAGGCAAGCATTTTCTCTTTTTTTCAAGTTATACTATTTTATTTACACCATATTACTCGCTGCTTACATTTTCAATCTACTTTCAATCGACTCGATCTAATACAGTATGTTCATCCAACCGGATGTGGATATCATTTTAGACCGAGCTGTACAGAAGCACAACATGAGAAGAGGGTGAGATTAGTGTTTTGGATGAAAAGCTTGATATCAGAATGGAGGTGGAGAGATGGCTACGGAAACGTTTACGAGGCTATGAATCTGACCTTTCGCATTCGCACCACCTCCGTGCTCGTCTCCTCAGACTCGTGCTACCCCGGGGAGGAGAGAGGGACACATGTTAGCATCCTCTGCTTGTTGGCTTTAACACTCAGATCCAGAGTGGAAACAAGTCTTGTGAGGGGCCACATGCAAGGGGCCAGTGTCTGACACTAACCTGAATGTCCCCATTGAGGGTTGCCATCAGTGAAGAGTCTACTTCTCTCTGGTCCCTCCACGCTGCTGGCTACAGCAGCAAGAGAGACACAGTTCACACTCGGACCCAGAGGACAATCTCTGTTCGCTACTTTAGTGTCTTCATTGAAGACCATGAAGCAATTGCATTAAAAATAGTTTATTATCTACAACAAAAAATTCCCAGCCAATCGCTATGAGGACAAATAATAAAATAAATGGACACCAATTTTCCTGTAAGGTAAACGTTGATTACACACATACATGATGCTACATGTGTCCTGCACGTACACATTTATATTTAAAATTCCTCATTAACGTGTAAGACAGTGTTTAACGAGAAATTGTATACCTTGACCACAGCCTCGATTTTTGAGGGCTCCACCGCCTCTATAGTGACCTCCAGCTTTCTTTCCTCCTTGAGGCTGGTCTTCAGTGGAGTGGAGGTCTGCGGCTGCTCCGGGATGGCAAAGGGGATCCCTGCCTCGGCCAGAGCGGCCTGGGAGAAGACCGGAGCACTGACGGGACGGACGCCCCTCTGTGGGACCACCACTAGAAAAATACAGACAGAATTGTACGTAAATAAAAGGAAATATGTTCAAGCACAGTAGAGGGATTCGACGGTAGGCACATCCAACATGATCAAATCGCCCAAGTGAGTAAAATGCACAATAAAACATCTATAAACATATAAATAAAAAAACAACACAATAGCGCGTCTATGCAAGCAGCCACATCATACTTACAAGCTTCGATGTGTTCACACTGCAGGGGTATACTGTACCTCATAAGCCTTGTTTAGTCTTTTAAAAAAAAGGAAACGTCAGCCCTCAAGGTGGGCCAAAATCAAATATCCACAAAGTGGGATGAGAGTAAAAGCATGGATTAGTTCTTGTTGCAATCCAATGAAAGATGCAAAGGCAGATGACGTTAGGCTGCAGTCCGATGTGGTTGTACAGGTGAAATGCCGAGGTTAAGAAAGCGTTATTTCTTCAATGTGCAAAACATAGCACGACCAGAGGCCCTTCAGTGATGATGAATGTGCATCCAAGTCAGGGCATCCTGTGAACGGGCTGCAAGTGTTGCTTAAGCGTTTCATGGAGCGAAAAAACATGTAAGCGGTTCATCTGCAAACAACAAAACCCAAACAGGTACCTGACTCTCTGAGGCCAACATCTAGTAGAACAAACCAATCATGGTGGACATGTGTTTGTGTGTGAGGACGCCTTTCCTCCAGGACCCGTTGCTCAAACTGTGGTCTCCTCTCGGATATCACAATCTTTGTTTCGGCCCCAGCAGCAGTTGGAACTTTCACATTTGCTGGGAGCTGGAAGCGCTCAGGGACAGCAGCTAATACAAAGCAAGTGGGTATTATTGTAGAAATGAAGTGCAAAATATGAACACACTTGCATTTATAGTGAAAGTAAATTCAATGACTGCTGAGTCTGTTGATACAGTAGGCTTACATCTTAGAATGATTTAAAAATAAATTCAATGTAAAATGTTCCTATATATAGCTGTCACTTGCTCTAATAATACCTGATTTCTTCTTGGCCACATCCAGAAGGATAAACCAATCATCTTCAACCTCTCTCACTGCTGCACTCGGTTTCTGCTGCAGCACATCCTCCAGCTGCCACTTCTGCTCCACTATCGTAACGCTCTTCTGCGCTCTCTTCTCTATGGCTGCATACTCTTTAGCTGGTCTTACTTCAGGATGTGTGTGGAAATGTTTGTCCACAGTCACTAATGTAGAATATAAACAAAGCCTTCTCAGTAACAACGATTCTACTTAACATATATTAAACAGGTGAGTTATTTTATAAAACTATAAAGCGCACGCACAGTAGGAGCGACAAAATAATACCTGGTTCTTTTGCTGCTACATCTAGCTGCACAAACCAATCATCATCAATCCGTCTTGGATGTGACGTCTTAACCTCCACAAACTTCACGGGGGGCCTCACGTCTTCCATGAGATATTTTGGTTTTTGGTCAATGGCTGCCACTACTTGGACAACACGCTCAACCACAGCAACTAACATGGAGAAACAAAGTTAAATAACTCTGACGCCGATTGATTAACTATTTATGCTATTTATGGCTGAAAGCATCAGGTGTGCGGGCAGTCGGGTTTATGTGAACTTTTTTGAAGCAAAGTGTATGCAGCAGCTTTGGCAATGAAAGGTACCTGGTGGTATGACAACAGGCTTTCCGTGGATGATGTCGAACAAACCAAACCAATCATCTCCTCCTTCCCTCTCTGACGGCAGTGCAACTCGGCTCGATCTAATTTCAGACAGATGTGTCTCATCTTGCCTGCTGTCCACACCAATTATCATCTTCTTCCATGTTCCAGTCTCTGTGGTAGACACCTCGGTCTCAAACGCCCTCCTCATATCCGGAATAATCTCAACGGGAGCAACTGACACAAACAAACAGAGTCAAAGAAGCTGAGCGCTATCCATCAAACAAAGAAAAGCTTAGCGCTGCAGAAATTGGTAAATGTCTTAAAATATAAGGTTTCAGAGTAACTTCTGATGTGGTTCGAACATATATTACATGTACCTGATGGTAGTATGACTGTCTTTTCATGGACAGCATCAAACAGTGCAAACCAGCCATCATCTCTCTCCGTCTGAGGTCGGGAAGGCTGCAGTCTAATCGGTTCAAGATCAACCTGCTGCAACTTCTGCTCTACCCTTATCACTTGGACTTGTTGAGGTTGAACACTGGGATCAATGTAGCTTGGTGCTACCAGAGAAACTGAAAGCAAACAGAATAAATACTCAAACTCATAATCAGACACCACAATCTAAGTTATCTAGAAATAGTTTGCGTGACACCATGTTTGTTTGTAAGATATTCTTCTATAGGAGGAAAATGTGTGAGATGTCAAGGCTGTGGGTACCTGGAGGTACATAGGCACTTTCTCTGGGAACACCATCCAGCAGGATCCACCAGTCATCATCTCTTTCTCTGAGTGGCCCGGACACTTCCTGCTGTCCTCTGTCCTCCCACTGCATCACAGTCTCTTTAACAAAGACCTCCTTCCTGGACTCTACTGTTATTGTTTCAGCCACAGTAGAAAGTCTGTCTTCAGTATAAACGTGAACGGCCATGGTAACTAATGACAAACAGAACGAAGGAACATTTGTAAGACGCCTACAATAAGCTTCTAAGACTTTACGTCAGGCCTGTAGAGATAGTCGACCATACCTGGTATGTGATAATATGATGTTTCTCTAGCGGCAACATCCAGCAGCACAAACCAGTCATCTTCTACTTCTCTCACAGCCTGTGGGAGTGCTACTACTTGCTTTTCTGCAAACACTTGTTTTATTTCTTCTCCCACAACTTTTTTCTCACTCCGCTCAATAGCTGTTATTTTAACCAGAGCGACACGTTGTTCTGGGGACACTTTAACAACTTCTGCAACAGCAACTGAGACAAAAGAGATGAAAAAGCCTTAGAAATATATACAGTACAGGAGATTAAGAATAACGGTGTCCACAAAGCTGAGGATGATTGCTGCGATAACGGTGCAAATAGGGACCTTTAGCATTACCTGGTGGAACATATGATGTTTCTCTGGGAACAACTTTCAGCAACACAAACCAGTCATCTTCTCTGTGTGTCTCGGGCTGTTGTGGGATTTCTTGTGGATGTCTTGGTACCTCCTCTATTATCTTTCTCTCTTCAGAAACGACTTCTCTAATCTCCTCCTTGACTGCAGTTCCTCCCAGAGAGACCAAACTCTCTGGACCCATCTGGTCTCTTCCCTTCAATGTAACTGATGTGGGTAGAGATGAGAGACGGTATTTGAAATACAAGGAGAAGTACACTCTCTTTGTATATTAGCACAAAATAAAACCACAAGATAGCCAGTTTAAAAAAAGCAGCACAGGGGCTTTTAGCCGTACCTGGTGGTACATATGTGGATTCTCTGGAAGCAACATCCAGAAACACAAACCAGGCATCATCTCTGGCTATTACTGGATGTTGTGGGATATCTTGAAGTCTTGGCGCCACTTCTATTATCTTTTCCCCCTCAGAAACAACTTCTCTAATCTCCTCACAAGTCGCAGTTCCACCCAAATAGACAGAACTTTCTGCGCCCATGTGGTCTCTTCCTTTGGTTTCTGATAAGAGTTGGGTCAGAAACAAGTATTTTAAAAAGAACAGTAATACACATTTCCTTTATATTAGCAAGCAAGCACAGAATAAAGCACCAGAGAGCCAACGTTTTACCAGAGGGCCTAAGCAATACCTGGTGGAACATAGAGTGTTTCCCTGGGAACAACATCCAACATCAAAAGCCAGTCATCATCTCTTTCAGTGACTGTCTGTGGTGGGGGGATCTCTGGTATACGCCTTATTTCCTCTTCACTTGTCTGTCTCTCAGCGACTATGATCTCAGTTTTCTGCTTAACTGTCGTAACAACAGTCTCTGAAGGGAAATATTCACCTTCATCCACCTGAGCACGGTCCACGGGAGTGACTAATGATGACAGTAAAGACACAAAAAACTTTGAACATCGGGGCAAACATGCAGTGCCGAAAAGCTCGCAGAAGCAGGACAGGGGTGTGGTTGATTATTCTTATTTGCAAAAAACTTTTTTCCTGACTAGTATAGGTATTACTAACACTGCAAATCATATTACTTTTAAAAGCGTTATTTCGCTGTGAGCGAGGTTTAAGAAGAATTCTCTGTATATAAATGATAATTACTGTCCATTTTAATGATACAAAAAGGCTTCCAATTCCTGGATACACCAGACTACAAAGGCTATGGTTGTTGGACCTTTTTTTCTTTCAACCCGTTTTCAAATTAGGACATCTTCATTAACCAAATTTGTTCCGTCAGCTATACTGTCATTACTTTCAGTAGACTGCTTTGACCTGAATATAACCCAGAACAACACCCAGCACAGAGAGGCCTTTCATAAATGGCAAATTATATTTATATGCTTACTTCTCCTTTCTAATAAATCTAAAGACGGTTCAATTGTTAGTGTTAACAGCACACAATGTAGTACTGGAGAAGGAAATGATACAGAGATTAGAGAGATTAGCAGAAGTCTACAGCTATTTGCACAATGACATACTGTACCTGGTGGTTTGGAAACAGCTTTGTACAGAAGTCGGTCAAAAGGTATGAACCATTCATCTCCATCTGCGCTCTGAGAAGGACTGTCAGCCTGAAGCCTCTCTAGAACTTCTCCCTCAGTTTTGGCTTCCAGTATGACCGTCTTACGCCATGTCCCGTCTTTTCCTAGCGTTTCCTCTGATATTAAACCACGCAGTGCAAGCACATCTTCAATTTCTTCCTGCATCTGCCCTCTATCTTCTACAATAGTCACTCTCTTCTTAATCCTACGCTCCACTTTCCGGTATGTTACTACCGAAGTGACGTCTGGAGATCCGGCCTTCAACTTCTCCTCCATCTCGTCCTGCCATTTATTTTCTATCTGGCACAGCTCTTCTCTCAAGCTATCATCAGACGGACCCTCTCCCGTCATCTCTTTTTCACTCTCCTGCTTTATCTGGGACTCTTCCTCTTCAGGCAAAATGCCTTTTAAAAACACCTGCTTTATCTGCTCTTCCAATTCATCCACTTCATCATCTTTTGTCTCCATTGACTTCACAGATTTCCTCAAAACACTTTCTATTATGCGTTCAACCTGTATTCCGTTTTCCTGATCCAAATCTCCCTCTCTTAACATTTCTACCTCTTCCTTTCCCAGTTCCTCTTCTATTACTTCCTGAAGTCGCTCTGCCACCTCATCCATTTCTTGCAGTCTTTCCTCTAAACCCCTAACTTCCCTCAGCTTCCATTCCAAAACATCTGCCATTTGCAGCTCGTCTAACAAGATCTCGGTTTCCCGCAGACTCTCAAAGACCTCCTCACTGGTCAGTTCTTGATCCGCCATTCGCAAGCCCTGCTCCTCCTCCTCCTCCTCCTCCTCCTCCTCCAGGAGCTGGAACTGAGCTTGGCGTGAGACTGGGAGGATTAAAAGGGGAAAGTAAAGCAATAAAGCATACAAAAAACTAAAATATGATTCGTATTGCAGACTGTTAATAGTTTATATTTCCACACAAAGAAGAATCACATAGTTTGTTAACATGCCCAAGCGAGGACATGCTGATGATTCGCTCAAAGTACAGGAACCAATCATCTGGTCGTTTCAGTGCTGGTCGTAATAGTTGGTCTATTGAGCTAATTTTTGCCAAGCTGAATTTAGCCGACAACATCAGAGAAAAATCATAAAATACATCATACCACATGAGCGAACACACACAAAGCTTACCAACTGCAAATCCTTAAACAAGGAAGAATATCACCACACGCTTAGTTTCTGTAGAAGCTTTTAAGATAACGCAGTGTACAACATAACACACTTGCCACATGTTCTTTAAAATTCAAGCTGAGGCAAGCATTAGATGTGCAAATACCTGGCTGTTTTGCAAAATCAAAAGGTGAGATAAAGGGAAAAGGCGGATATCGCCCGAGCAGGGCAGACCACTCGTCCTCTTTTCCCCTCTGCTGTTGCTCGTCAGACGTCAGCTCCTGCCCTGGCTGACTGACTGTCTGGGTGATGGTCTGAGAGCCAGTCTGCCCAGTCCCAGTGCCCTGCCATGAGACTGTGTGAACAGACTGCCCCTGCTCCTGAACGGAAATCTGCTCAGACTCCCCTCTGGCTGTGAAGAAATGACCGAGTGATGACTGTTGTGCAAAGGTTTTTGCAGGGAGAGATGACGGTCAGTGTGATGCTTCACAGTGCTTCAAGCGTGTTTTGGACCAAAGCAGATGCCAAGCGTTTGTACGAGACTCTTGTAATTCAAGTAAGCTCAGGTTAGTAGAAAGCTGAATGGAAGATGCCTCTCATCCTTCACAACGAGAGCAGGTGAAAATGGCAAAACTTTTGCAAAAAGTACTTTTTTACCTTTTAAATGACACTGGGGCAGTGATGAGTCAGTCAAAAATGTAAAAAATTACAAGGTACAAGCAAATGAAAAGCCATTGTGCAACACATATCAAGCAGCAAGAAAATGCCCAAAAAATGAGGAACCTGCCTCAAGACTGAAAATGCCTGTGTGTATTTGAGTCTTCGAGAAATCCTATTATGTATTCTTTTAGAAAGAGAACTGAATGACCCTGGGATGATGCCAGGGGAAGTACTAGGTGGGTGACATTACCCACATGTCAGAGTAAGTCAGCATCCTGACAAGTAAACCATCTGTCCCGCAGCTGACAGGCAATGTTTTCAAGAGGATTACGGGCATGATAGCAAATGAGGCAAATGAAAGAGCATGTTAATATATGTGATGAGGCTATAAAAGCAGCAAATATGCCAGAAAGCGCTGGAGCGGCTCCACACAGTTCCTGGTACCTGGGAGTTCAGGAGAAGGCTGGGGTTTGTCAGATGTCAGCATCAGCAACCAATCATCCACCTCAGACCTGGTGGAGGCTGAGAGGTCTTGCAGGAGCTGGAGAGTTTCATCTCCAGCTGCAAGAGCGAAACAAGTCAGAGGGCAGCTTATCGAACCTGCGCTCTTAAACAATCATTCCAACACAGGTTCACACAGTGGCACATACCTCCATCCAGGTTACGGGAGAGCCTCTTGCTCGCCGAGCGTGTGAAGCGAGGGGCTGGGCGGTCGATCAAGGAGCTGGCCTGGCGGGTCTGGGCCTGAGTGCGCCCGCTGTACCGGAACTTAGAGCCCAAGACGAGGAAGCGGCGCGATGCGGGCGGCTCCACTGTTGGAACTCTGAAAGACAAAAACACTTCATTTTCATCCACTCAACATTAAATACATTTTCCAATTTCCTTTCAGTGACAGACCCACGTACCAGGAATATAAATGTAAATTACATCATTTAACATGAAAGGATTTTGCATTCCCTTAAAATTGTCAGTTATGCAAAAAGGTCAGCAACAGCTTCGACCTTCATCTTACTAAGTAGACAAACCCTTTGAGGTTTAATTCTAAGGTCATGACCATGGGCATGCAGCTTTGCTTCTGTGGTTAAACTGCCAGGGAGCCAATATAGGGCTTAAGCTGTAGAGAGCAGTTAGCCAATTATCTAAGGGATAGGAACAACCTCCAAATGACCTCTGTTGCCGGGCAAGGAAGTGTAATTTAGAATGTGTGGTTACATTAAATGACCTGAACTCACCTGAAGAAGGTATGGTTTTCAACGCAAACTTTCCACAGCTTCTTAGAGGCTTTGTAGTTGGGCAGTTTAAAGCCAATTGTGCTTTCATACTGCTCTTGCTGTAAATGAAAAAAAAAGAAAAAAAAAAGTCAAATATAATGACCTTATGTTGATGGGAATATTCTGAAGCATCGACATGCATCTGCTGGGTTGTATGAACATATTGTGAATCCTGATGAATATATTGTAAACCCTGTCAATTCTAAAAGACAATTTCTTAAATTAAAATCTTAGAAACATTTGTTATACTGTATATTACAAAAAATGTAATGCTGGAAATAAAAATGCAAGTGTACAAAATAGTCTAAAATCAAAGCCTGAATTGCAGTGTGCAATATATTTAAGGATTATTATTCAAATGTATTAATCCTCATGCTAAATCTGTATTAAGCCAGAGAAATATGTATATAGAGGCTTGACATACATATCCATATCCATACAGCTATACAGCATTCCCATCCAGTTAAAATAATGTACAAATTACAATAATAGCGTGTTAATCAAAAAATAACATTATAATTGTAATGATAATGTAGTAAATAAAAAAAACAAGGGAAACAATTTAATTTAGAATATAGTACAAAAAATGAATGTAAGTTCAGATCTACCTCTGATGGCCTGATTTTGATAAAGAAGCTGCTGCGTTTGTAAGAGATCTTGAGAACTTTGGGCCAAGGGAAACGGTTAATCCTCAGCTTGTCCTTGTACACCATCAGACCACTAGAGCAAACCCCGAGCGTGATGTCGACGCCATCGAGATCCTGGATGCACAAAAACAGGATGAAACAGTTAGGATATTGTAGCTCTGCACGCCATCACCCTAACCCTGCACATACAATAAACAATCACTGGGAGGCAGACTTTCTCCCACAACTGAGGACATGGAGTTTGAGGGCATCGAGTTTAAAATGAAATTAATCTCTCCTTTTTTTCTAAAATGGGACATCAATTTTGTAATTAAAATCGGGATGCTCCTGATGTAATCCAAGCGGGTTGCTGCAAAATACCCACACACAAGAAATCGATGAATCCATGAACTGTTGAATTTTAAAATTCCCATGAAATACTTGCATTGTTAGATTACCAACTTGATACCGATCTAAACAGGTGACTTTATTTAAACAAATAATACCTTAGCTTGGTGCAGGTCAACTCCGTACATGGCGAGTTTCTTGGCATTTTCCAGAAACATCAAGTCTGCCTGGGCTGGGGTCATTGCCCTGGAAAAAGACAGATCATAGTTATATTCCATTTTAATAGAATGATTATTTTAATTCCAACTCAAACTTGATGAAACTTAACTGCAGGCTACAGATTGCCATCACTTTGTTGCTCCAATTTCCCCCATTGATTACCTGTATGTGCGGTGCAGCTCCATCACCTTATCCTCCAGCTCTTTGCTCTGTCCGGGGGCCAGGCTCAGATCACTTACATAATGCACTCCATGGAGCTCTGGGTCATACTCTCCGAGCTCTGACTGGGCTGTGTAGGAGCCCAGCATGGACAGTGTGACAAAGGAACAGGGAAGAACACCTCGCATGATGTCCTTCCTCAGCTGGACACACAAAAAGTACCTGGAGAAGACGTGAATGGACAACAATTAGCTCACTTATGAAGATTTGAAAAGTATATTCTGAATTTACTATATTGTTGTTGGAAACACAAGCTTTCGACTTAGCTGTGAAGCTGAAAGCTACGTTTAGGTATTTTTTGTATAATGCTAGCTTAGCTTAGCATAAAGACTGGAAGAAGAGGCAAACGAATAGCCTGGCTCTGTCCTTAAGAACAATCAGCTTACCAGCACCTCTCCAAATAACATGTTAAATCACATAGAATAAGCATATTTTCCTAAATCCAACTATTCCTTTATTAATATATTATGAATAGATATTCACCTGGTGAGGTCTTCGGTAAGCTGGGCTGGATCATGAGGGTAGAACTTGACGCTGAATGTAAACTCATACACAGCACCTGGAACCTGTTTCCGGATCTCTTTGGTAGACTCCATCCATGTCTGCGGAATAAATGTGGGGTAAAAAATAAACAACTGCTCACAGCCAATTTCATTGTCATTCATAATAAAGGGTTATGCTTTTGCAGAGTAACTTTACTGCAGGGAGTAGAGAAAAACCTACACAGGTGGTTGGGTTTTCCCAGTTGGCGAGGCCAAAGTAGTCCCTCTCCAGCAGGTTGACATGGTCGCACACCTTTGTAAGAAGTTCTTGGGCTTTAGCATGTTTCTACACAAGAAAGAAAGAGAGACAGGGAGAAGGAGATTATTTAGATGACATCACCATTTGATTCTTTAACGCGGGTAGTAGCCATTGGTATAAACATTCAAGAAACTGAAATCTGGGAGGTCTCTTACATCAAGCTCGCACTCAAACTGAGTGTCGTCCAGTAAGGTGACTTTGCATTGCATGGTTTTCAGACGTTTGGGGCCTTGAGCCTCTTCTTCCTTTGTCTTCTTCTCTTTTACAGGCTTCTCCTTCTTCTCCTCCACCTTTGTCTTCTCCTCCACCTTTGTCTTCTCCTCCACCTTTGTCTTCTCCTTTGCCTTTTCCTTTATCTTCTCCCTTGTCTTCTCCTTCGGCTTTTCCTTCGGCTTCTCCTTCGCCTTCTCCTCTCCTTTGGCTTCTATCTCCGGTTCTGCGGGTTCTTCCTCTTTTTTCTCCGTGTCCTCCTCCTTCACTTCCTCCACAACTTCAGGCTCCTTCTTTATGGCAGCTTCTTCCTTTTGCTCCTGCTTGTAGAATAAACACGGAAGATATCAAAAGAATAAATAAGGGGAATGACTAATTGTTTTGTTTTTTAATATGACAGCTCAACAATGAATACACAGTCTACCGTTAATAGAACACAGTAAAGATACTGCTGTTAATGCTAGCTGCATATTAAGAACAGCATGGATCGTTTGTGTCAGGCCAAGCTCTCAGCTCAGTGCACCACAGTTACTTCGCTGAGCAAGCTGTCCACATCATAAACAATTCATAAGAAAGAAAAAAACATGTGTTCCTCTACTACAATCCAATCTGCTGTTGTATACATGAGAGCTACGTCTTTTTATCCTTAATGCTCACACTCTAGTGATTGAATGAAACGTTTTTTCCACATTTTGGGAAAAGCAAGTTCTTATAAAATGAGAAGATCAATACCACTCCTGCATCTGCGCAATAAATACGATGCTACAGTCAGCAGCAGGTTAGCCTAGCATTACAGAATAGAAAGAAGTTGGAAACAGCTAGCATGCTCTGTCCAAAGATACTTCCTATCTGCGCCTCGAACGCTCACTAATTGGTTTGACATGCTTTATCTCCCTTGTTTAAACTGAACAGAAACCAAAGTGTCAAAACAACAGGGGGTTAATGAATGTGCGTGACTATTTCTTGGCCAGGAGTGGCAGTCTCCTGGAATGTCATTATCCAAGTGCCAACTCTGGGTCACTTCTACCGTAAAGGACATAGTCTGGCACTGGTTATTTTTGACACTTTGGATTTCATAGAGATTAAAACAGACAAGATAACATGTGTTTATTATGAAGCTTTGAAGATGCTGGCAGGGTGATTTTGTTCTCTTTGGACTCAATAAGGCTTGCTGCTTCTCTCCGTTTCCAGTCTTGGAGCTAAGCTAAGCTAACTGTAGATGAACAGAAAGATATGAAAGTGGTCTCAATCTTCTCATCTAAAGGCCCGGACACACCAGCCCAATTTTGGGAGTCAGGGGCCGTCAGAGGCCGTCAGCGGCAGTCGGGCATTCGCGGCGCCCTACTCAGGTTTGTGTGTCCCGCACCGTCGTCTCTTTACGGCAACTTTTCACACCTCCGGACGCCTCCCGCGGCCGATTCAACATGTTGAATCGGCCGCGGGAGGTCAGAGAAAGTCGGCCCAAGCAATCCCTCTGATTGGCTGTTCACACTACCGCTGCCTGCTGGTAAGGACAGTTATTGCCACTCGTCGACTGAAGTATTTGCGGTGTGTTCGTAGGCGGGTGGCGTAGCGGGCGGCGTAGCGGGCGGCGTAGCCGACGCAGGCGACGAAGCTGACGTAAAAGTCGGGACGCCTTCGGTACGCGTTCTTTGGTCTCAGGTGGGTGTGTAGCGGCCTTAAGGATGTCTGTGTCGGTGATACATGTGTCGGTGTCACACTCACCTGGTTCTCTGCGCTGCTTATCGAGTGCTGATCTGGAGCCTGTTCGGCGTCGGGCTCAGTTCTGAGCTCGGGCTCTGGAGCTGCGATGGGAGCTTTGACCTGCTCCTCACTCGGCCCCTTCACCTCCTTCTTTCCTTTCTTCTTTTTCTTCCCCTTTACCTCCTCTTTTCTTTGCTTCTCTCCTGTCTTTTCCTCCTCCTTGTCTTTCACCTTGACCTCCTCTTTCACCTTGACCTCCTCTTTCACCTTGACCTCCTCTTTTGGTTTCTCCTCCTCCTTTTTCGTCTTCTCTTCTCTGGCTTTCTCCTCTTCTCTCTTTTAGCCTCCTCCTCCTTTTTCTTAGCCTTTTCCTCTTCTCTCTTTTTAGTTTTTTCGGCCTCTCTTGCCTTCTCTTCCTCTCTCTTCTTTGCCTTCTCTTCTTCTCTCTTCTTTGCCTTCTCTTCTTCTCTCTTCTTGACCCTTTCTTCTTCTTCTGCTTTCCTCTTAGCTTTTCCCTCTTCCTTTTTCTTTACCTTTTCATCCTTTTCTTTTTTCTTCACCAAATGTTTGTCCACCTTTTCCTCCTCCTTACTTTCATTCTTTGCGGCTTCTTCCTCCTTGTCTTCGACTTCAGCGCTTTCCTTTTTTTCTTCTTCTTTTGTCTCCAATTTCTCCTCTTTCTTTTCTACAGTCGGCTCTGCTTTCTCCTCTTCCTCTTTCTCCTCTTCCACCTTTGCCTCCTCTTTTTTCTCCTCTTCACTTTTCACTTTCTCCTCTTCACTTTTCAGCCCATCTTTCTTGTCTTGTTTCTTCTTGGCCTCTTTCTTTTTCTTTTTACTGCCCTTCTTTTCAACCTTTTCTTTCTCCTCTTTTGGTTCTTTTTCTTCCTTCTTTTCCACTTTTTTCTCCTCTGCTTTCTCCTCGTTCTCCTCACTTTTCACCTCTTCTTCCTTCTCCTCGTTTACCTCATCAGACTTGTCCTCTTTGTCTGCCTTATCCTCCTTGGCTTTCTCCGCCTCAAACCCCTCTCCCTCAGAGCACTGTGAACGGCGCTTGAGGAAAGAGGAGAAGAGGCGAGACAGGCCCTTGCCAGCGGAGGTCCGGGTGCGGGGCTTCAGCTGCTCCTCCTCGGGGGAGGTAGCTACGTCAGCAGGCCCAGGCTCGGAGGCCTGCTCTAGGGCCTCCTTACTCGACTGCTCCCCCTCCGGCTCGGACGTGGCCGCCTCCGGCTTCTGTTTGTTCTCTGGTTCTGGTTCAGGTTCGGGCTCGGCGCCACTGGCCTTCTGCTTGCCCTCAGTGTCCGCCTCGCTCACTGCACTTGCCTCTGTTGTCATGGTAGCCACTGGGAAGGAGAACAGAAGAGAGTCAAAGGTGGAGGAAGGTCATGGTGCTTTACAGTGTGACGGTGCACATCATGGCTATACTTGGTACACAACAAACGAGATTAGGAGAAGTAGGCTATTAGCACAATAATTACGTTTCACTGTAATTTCACAATGTCATATTTTGGAGATTAAAAAGCAGTTTAATTCATATTGAAAACAATCATTGCACAAAAAACAAAACTATCAAAACATCTACTCTGCTCAATCCCAAATGATCAGCAGAGGCTTGTATTTCTTTTTTTAGGAATTGTATTGTATTATGCAAATAGGGTAATATATATGCATGCATTATTATCACTAATAGCCGGGTCATTTACCATAAGTAAATAACAAATTAAATAATTTAAATTGCTGCTTTAATGTATTGTTAGCTGCATAATCTGAGTGGCATACATGAGACTTTCTCCTGAAGCCAACTGCCACCAACAGATTATATTTTAACTCAAACACACACAAACACACATACACATACACCACTTCATCACACAATAGCCCTCCTTGTTGAAGAGTATGTCTGTGTCTACACAGAGTTCTGAAAGTGAGTTCACCATACTGCCTATCACAGACTCATTAAATCTCACTGACACAAAGGAGGCATTCTGCTCTGGAGCTGCATATTAGCAGCGCCTGCATCATCCTCACCAGGCATGCCCTGCGCCCTATCTCACACACGCCCACCCTGCACAGGTCATATAAGGGCACTAGGGCGATATGGCATTATATGCAGATATAAATTGGTTAATCAATCCTTTCAATCAATAGTTCGTGGTGGATGAGGTCACTTTGAGGGGTGCTGCGAAGCCATGAGTAGAAAAATACAGGAGATATAAGGATATATGTTACCTTCTGTTTGGACCGCAACTAACAATTAAGGTCATTATCCATCAATCTGACACTAATGTTACATATTCATCGGCTGGTGAATATAATGTAAGGAAAGGAGTCATTTACAATTGATATAAGTCTTTAAATATTTTGTTTTGTCAGTATAAAACCCAAAAATATTCTGTTTAATATAATATAAAAATACAACAGCGATGGGAGATACCAAGGCTGCTTTAAATATGTAACAAACAGTGCAAGCGTACTTGTCTAAGTGACTTATTATACAATGATGTGATTTAAAGTCACAGCAGAAGGGACTTCAATGAACACGACTTTGATTCACTAGTTTGGCAGCGAGAGGGCAGTTCTGGTATATTTAGAAACTTTAACCAGCTTATTAAAGAGCGCAAATCATTATGCAATCCTCACACCTTCCTTATATATCTGTTACAGTAGTTCTCATAACAATCAATGTGTGTCCTCATTCAGACCGATCCGCATCCCGTCTGTATCCCGTCTGTCCTGAACTAGGCATTGTCCAATTGGTGACGAATGTGTTTGTCTCTTCCATATGTAGTTCAAGTCCCACCCTGCCTTGTATGAATTGGGGGAGGGGGATTCTAGACAAGCAGACAGGCAGCCCGATCTTCCAGATGTACAGGCCGTCCCAAAGGGTGCAGGCCGGCCCTCTATATACCATACACTTCCTACTGGCACTGCGGGACAGCAGGAGGGGAGGAGGGGGTACGCACACAAACCAAATCCTCTTTAGCCCTCCCATTGTTTGTGTCCAGTGACCAATAACTGTGCTGCACACTATAACTAATCCTGCCTACCCTTCCCCCCCACAGGACCCCCCATCGGCCTATTCCCTAGGTCACCACACGCATACACACATACGCACACACCGGTATGCATCAATGCCCACGGGCTCCTTTGGGTCTTTTAATGCTCTGTCATCTCAATTGTGATTGTCAGGGCACAGACATGCTCCTAATGGACCAGCTGAGCTTGTGTCTGCTGCCTCCTCCATTTTGTGTTGCCAATCTAACATCTCTGCTATCAGCCAGCTGAGCAGGGCTAACCTGCATCAGGACCCATTGAGATAAAATGTCTTTCTTAAAAAGCATCAATCTCTCATAATACAATGCATACTTCTTGCTTGGTTTGGAGGTAATTAGATGAAATATAGCTGCTCTGTCAAATAAATCTGCCCTCCATCCTACATAATTAGCGGCTCTAATTAGCTAAATTATAAATGAAGTAGGCCACCCTCTAGCAAGAGTGAGCTCTCTGCTCTGAGCTGCTGGATCAGGTGCAAAAGCCAGGGCTGGAGGGGAATCAGGATTTGATTTAGAGTTTATGTGACTATCAATTGAATGTAATGTTCCTACAGGAAGATTTGAAATGTGATTAAACAACTGATTTACATTTGGTTCAAATTAATTAATTCATTAGCTTAAACAGTTTGACCCGAAATGTATTAATTCTTCTCATTAAAATGATGCAAAAGAAAAGGTCCAAACCAATGCTCACCCATTGACAAAACCGGTTCAATTAATTTATATTACCATTAAATCCAAGTCTCCAGTTTAAAAAAAAAAGCGAATTAAGCAATTTCTAGATACCAAGACTCTAATATTATTTGCCAGTGATGCTGAAGAGCTGCTGCTGTGCGTGTGTGTGTTAGTGTGTGATGAAATGAGACGAGAGCTGAATGGGGAGAGGAGGAGGTATAGTATATAAATAGCTACATGTCTTTAGGATGCTGGGACTCATTAGCCCTTTACAGACGAGCTCATATCTATTTCTGTTCACAGTGCGCTGCACACAGCACGCATATGCACATGTGTGCACAGCCGCAAATGCATACACCACAATAGGACTGTTTAAAAAAGACGACAGGAAATATTTCATTTGTTTTGAGTGAATTCACCAGACACTGGACACTGACTGACAGCAGAATGGAGTTCCACAATAACATTAACCTGCAGCAATATAGGGACAAAAAGAAAGCATGTTTCCTCGGTACTGAGAGTAGGCTTAAGGAATTAGAAGGAGTTTAGAGTTAATCGTCCCCCAAGTGACCAAGTGAGATTATCTCCAACCATCTACCTGCCTACAGTATCCATCTCACTCAGTATCAGTGTGTCTCCCCCCTCTGTCTCTCTGGTCTCCCGCTCTGGATGTGCATGCATTCGCGCGTGTGTGTGTGTGTGTGTGTGTGTGTGTGTGTGTGTGTGTGTGTGTGTGTGTGTGTGTGTGTGTGTGTGTGTGTGTGTGTGTGTGTGTGTGTGTGTGTGTGTGTGTGTGTGTGTGTGTGTGGAGTAGAGAGGGTATGAAGAAGCGCTTTGGCTATCAGCTGTGCTGATTCATGGTTTTATGTGGAGCCCCGCCTACCTGGCTTAAAATCAACAGAAATGAACAGAAAGCCAAAATATCAGTCCTCTGGCCACATGGTGGCTCCTATTAACCTCTCTCAGTAAACACAGGCACACATGCCAACATACACGCAAACACGTGCCTGGATAAACTGTTCATCTGACAGACCCAACAACTTTGTGAAAACAAACAAAATAGGCGAGAAGGCCCCCAAACGCAAAATCATTATAGGGTACGTCATGTACTCCTTATTGAAGCATCCTTAAAGGTAAAATAAAACTGCCTGCTTTTAAGATTATGATATGTTGAGTGACTAAAACTTCAGGATCAAACTTTGTAGGAAGCATTGTAATCATGGCTTCTGTGATACTATATCTCTTGAGAGTACTCTGTGATAGACATTGGGCTACAAAAGGTTTATTTTAGTCAAGTCCTCTTTGTAAACCTATCCCAAACCCTTCCCTGATCAATACACACAGATGGTCTGTGAGCATGATGCTGTAACATGAACCGACATGGGAAAAGAATGAAGTAGCTTGATTGATTTACTGTGGTTACCCTGAAAGCCTGAATCTGTCTCCAACATCCCCTTAGACCAAGCCCATTGAAGAAATACTAAACCTTAGTGCACAATTTGAAAGAAATGTTAATGTTTAATGTTCTACACGCACACAAAAAACAGATTTGTGTCTTGAAAGTGAGATTTGTCAGTAAAAGGATTTGACTAATGAACTC